TACGGATTATTGGTAAAAAGAGATTTCCGTACAGTATACAATTGGTCCCGTAATAACTATGTTGAGTTTTTACTTTACGTAAAAACACAAATAGAAAATCATTGGCGGATCAGCGCTCGCTTCGAACGACTGGTTGGTGTGATCTAGACGAAGGCGTTAAAAAACGCTGTGCTGTCATTCTTCTTCTCTTTTTTCCAACTGCCATGTCGACTTCACGCACCATCACCAACTTCTTCTTCACGGACTGTGGCAACGGCCAGTTTTCCTGCAAGCAGTGCGGAAGAGCTCGAAAGCAGTCGCCAGGGACGAGCTAATAATAATACCAACCTAATTAGTCATCTGGCAACGAACCACCCAGGGTTCAGGGAGACGTACGAGGAGAGCCAGCGGTCGTTTGGCCAGTCGCTCGAAGCACACGGGTTTGTCGATCAGCGGACGATGGAAATTTTCAAGTGGATGGAGTGGGTTATTGCCAGGAACATGCCACTGAGTGAGGTGGATGACCCGATGACATGTGCGTTAGCTGCCATCAAGCCGGTCTCGTCGAAGTCCTTGGTAAAGTACATGCGTCACGTTGCAAGCAAGGTGAAGTCACGCATTTCAACGGATATGGGAAACCAGTTCGGCCTCATGTTTGACGGGTGGACTTCAGGTATTTACCACTTCATCGCCATCTACGCCGTGTTCACGAAGGAATGAGCCCTCCACGAAGTCTTGCTTGCGATGTCCCCTAACCCTATCGATTGCATACAATAATTGCAGTACTTATTATTGTTTTGGTCGATACGGTAATGACGGATTATATTATTTCTGAAAACCAATACAATTATATATTTTATTTTCCAACCCCTGCAACGCTCGTGCCTGATGGCTCGAGATTGATAGTCAAGTGCTCGGCGCACAGCTACGCGACGGATATCGCTGGCTAGAACCTTTCAAGTGCAGTTTTCTTCGAAGTCGTCTCACCATATACGGTTCAACATAATCTGGCGATCAAATTCCACGATAACCTTTCGCGATGCAGGTGTCCAGCTGATCTCAATCTGTTCTACAAAGATCGACGAAGAGGCCATTCGTGATTGCATTCGTCCGGCCTACAAAATCGCTACGGAGTCTTATGAGCGTATTCTCGGCGCCGTCAGAATATGACGGATTCTTTTCCTGGAGGCGTAACTGTCTTTACGAACGCCCAAGCAGCACTTTTACCTTTCGTGAGAACAGCGTGTCCCTCCAGGGCAGAACACCTCGAGTATTGGGTCTCTACACATGCTGACAGCTAACACCCGCTGCAGACGTTGACAAAAGCAGTGACATTGCTTGGCCGACTCGACAAGACTAACGGAGTTGCCGAACTACCTGTCCCGAAGCCTAAGTGCAAGCAAGCGAAGACTGCGCAAGACCAATCCGCCAAGCCATCCAAAGCTATGATCTCCATTGTTGATCGGAAGCGGGAGGGGCCACGACACGGCAAGCGCGCTCTCTCGTTGATGACGGTTCACTTGTCGCTTCAGCTTGGATGATCTCAAAACCGCGGTGCTTTAAGTGCTCTGGTAGTGATCACGTTGGACGTGATCCTGTGTGCACGAAAAATCTTAGCCCGCTTCAGAATGCTGGAATGAAGGCGTCCGCTGAAGAGTTTGCGTGAGGCCATGGCGGTAGATGCCACTAAATCATTCTAGATTCTGGTGCGTCGTATCACCCGACAGGCCAACACAGCAACTTTCGCAATCAGCGTCAAATTCACCCACCCAAGCGCTCTACCATCGCTGATGGCCGAACCTTGGCGACAAAAAAGCACGGTCAGCGATCTGCTTATCCAACCCATTGTCAAGGATGCGCGTAGGCACGACCAATATTCCAATGTTGTCGTCCCCAACGTCTTCTGCGTACCCAGTCTCTCCATTAATTGGCTGTCGGTCTATCGTCTAGTTCAAGCCGGGCGCCGCGTGCTCTTTGACCACCACGCTTGCCCTGTGACTAAGGGCAATCATCGGCTGCCCGTTTCCATGACTGTTGTACAGGACGGCGTTTACGTCGTAGTACGCAGTCCCTTAGCGTCTCTGAAGCAGCGTTTGCTGCTCGTCCACCAGTGCCAGACTCGCTGTTAACGTAACATCGTCGCTTAGGCCACTTCAGCTTTAAATCGTGCCGCCGCGGAGCGTGGAGCATCGCGGAGGGTCCTGGTCTACTTTAGTGTGTTCATTGTACAAATGCGAGCGTTATGCCATCCCCAGCACCCCGCCGTCGCTTTGTTGACCAACCCACGACAGATCGCGTGTGCCACATTGGCATCGCTGGTCCGATCGCTCGTTCGTATCTCAGCTCAACGTACTTCATGTTCAATGTGCTGTGTGGGTCGTGTCTACGGCCTAGCTCATAAGGACGCGGCCGCGGCGACGGGCGACTTCTTGGTGAATATTGCACGACAAGCCCGTGTTTCAGCAGCTGAAATACAGGTGGTACGCACGGACGGCGGTAGTGAATTCCGCACACAAGATTTTCGGCAACTCGTCGCCCAGCTTGGGCCTTATCACCAGCGCTCTACGCGAACTCCGATGGTACCCAAGACGCGCTCGACTACCTGGACGATGAATTAACTGAAGGCAAGCTGGCTCAGATGATGAACAAGCCCCATCGTCAGGTCGTCGATAGTCCCCTGTACTTGGCAAAAGTGTTTTGCCCTGACTTAGCTTTCGCGGTGAATCAGCTGGCCAGACACTGTGAAAAACCCAGGAAATCTGCAGGGGATGCAGCCAAGTATCTGCTACGCTACCTCCTCAAGCACGCACGCTCGAGCTCGTGTTTCAGCCAGGAGAAGAAGGTCTCCGGGTTGCAACGGACGCGGATTGGGCAAACGCCATTCACGACTGGAAGTCAGTCTCGGGTTTCGTGGTGTTCTTGTTTGGCTGCTCAATCCATTGGGGATTGCAACAAACAATCGAGCGTTACACGCGGTCAAATACCACTGCCGAGTTCATCGCAGTAAATGACGGGATCCAGTAGGTCGAGTGGATCCAACGCGTTGTCTCGGAGCTTCTAGGGCAAGCAGATCCATAGACAGTAGCGCTTTAAGTTGACAACCAGCCAGCTACTTACATAATCAAGCGAGACAACAGCTCCGGGGCTCAAAAGGCAATCGACATTCGGTTTCACGCTCTGAAAAAGGCGTTGAAAACATATCACCATGCTTAAGTATGGACAGACGCACGAGAATCCTGCTGACTTGCTGACCAAGGCGCTCAACCAAACGGACTCCTCCACAAGCGTGATCTATGTTACCTGGGCTCGAATCTGGATGACGGCCTACTGTAGGAGCTGCTACTTGTGTGTGTGTGTGTGGGGGGGGGGTGTTATAAATGACGCCCGCATGGGTACATGTACAAGCAGTACAGTTGTGCACCTCCAATTCGGCAGGGCGGACCATATCAACAGTACCAGGGCATAAGTGCACAACGTAAAGCAAAAAACAAACGCAAATCCAGTGCACTGATATGTTGTTTGTTAATTCAGTACAAATTTTACATTTAGTTCTGAGACGATGCCTGTGTGGCACCAACAGTTCCTAATAGTCTTTGCAGATATGTTGTTCCAGCCTTCAGACAACCACTTCATGGCGGAGTAAACGTCGACCGGCGTGTAAGGAACACCCTTGTGTGGTGTAGGGATTTCCAGATTCGACCATACGCCGACCTACTTTAGGTCAAGAATCGGCTCGGTCTGATAACCCAGAGCTTAGGAGCCAAGGATCACGGTAAGTACTCGGCGATCTGTCCGGATATGCTATCCGGACAGCCGCTGAGCTCAACGGTCGCCGGAACTCAGCTGAAGGGTCGGTAGAGATCCGAAACGACTACATTTCATTAGATATTTGTATGAGAAGCATAGGATTAAATAGGGGGAGCCGAAAGGGCTCCCAGAAGATAACAGAGCAGAATTTTCCTAGTCCAAGACACGTGTACACTTTTCCGGTAAGTCCCTGCATAGGGCTGGATTATGCCTGCCGTCAATACTCGAGAGGCATAGCTTGTAGGGTATTGACTGGTAGCGCCAAGAGATTAGGTCGGTCCGGGTAGGACAAAGTCTCGCTACGCGCGAAAGAAAGTCCCGCATACTCAGCGGGCCGGTACGTCGGATAGCCCGGGTGCCGTAACACTTCTAGCTGAGCTGCCTCTGCGCTCGGTGACCTGTAAAAGCGCTCGCGCGCCGTCGTCCATCCTTTGGTGGAGGGCACAGGGTTGTGAACGAGCTCAGCCGAACCAAACTCGGCGGAGCCTCGGAAGTGATCTGACTTGGTTAGTCGGAACCGGGTGGAAGCGAGCCACTCGTCTGTCCCGGAAGGGCCGGACCGCGAGGGGACCACCCTCTGCGCAGGCCATACAAACCGCCGACCTAACTCGGCGATTCGTTGTGGTTTGTGTAAGGAATCCACATCTGACGATATTTGTGTGTTCTACTACACCACAACTTGTGCCGCGACACGGGAACAGGAGTGTGTGCTTGTTTCTTGTTCTGGTACTCATTCTTCAGGCACTTAATGATGCCCTGGTCCATGGGCTGCAGTACGGCAGTTGTATTAGGCGGGAGCGTGGGGAGTAGCAACATTGGATAGCTCAATAGAAGCGTCGCTGTGCGACGAAGCATTGTCAACAAGTAGTAGTACTTGTCGTTCTTCCAGCTGCATACGTTTATTTAGTGCCAAGAGCCAATCACAGTATTTTACCGTATTTATCCACGCCTTTGCCGTATTTGTGTAGGTAGCTCCAATTTCGACTAGAAGGTCGCTATTTTTTTTAGGGGGCGCGGCACTTTAGAAAACCACAGCCCTGTTCGCTGCTGGAAGCGGTACAGCTTGGGGGGTCTGAAAGCGCTCCGTTGGGTTAACGAGCAAGTTCGAAGTGAGAGCATGCAGGATCTGACTTGTGCTTCTCGCACAAATACTGCTTTTGTGCTAGAGTTAGGGACATGTAGGAGGAAGGGCGATGTCCCATTGTCTTTGGCGGTAAAAATCAAAGTGTGTGTTTTGTCAGAAGACGTCCCGATCCAAAATTTAAAATCAGATCGATGCGGCGTGTCATCCCTCCGCGAGGAGGGGAAAACCGTTGAGGTTAATTGCTAGGGTGGTGATGGGCAAAGGTAATTGCGCATCCGATTCGCGTAATCATAAAATCTGGCAGGGTATCGACTGATACCAGTGCCAAATTGGAGGTGCACGACTGTACTTCCTGATACAAGTTCAGGACGAGGATGCGTCAGCAGCGTCTCGTAGGTGATAGCAGCTGATGACAACACTGGTAGTCTGATGACGCAGGGATTATAACCTAATAGAAGTAGACGGATGCAACTAACACCTTAAAAAACGCCAAGGACAAAGCACATTGCATTCAAGGTTACCATCAAGTTATTTGTGGAGAAAGATTGTGATGGACGTTTTTTAAGAGCAATTGTCATTTTGATTTTTTTATGGATGCTGTAGCTGCACGCCCAGCTGTTGTTGAGGTTGACAGCAGCCATTCTTAATTTCCGTCTTACGCAAAGGCATTTATTGGGTCGGGATGGAGGCTTGCGGAATTTGACCATCGCATTTGTTTAATAAAGGATGAAGATGCAGACAGCTTCGCGTGGTTCTTTCTTTCGCCAGAATGATTCTAACTTTGGAGGGATGCCAATGTTTTGCGACTGGGGTACGGCTCTGATTTCAGTCGCAACCGACATGGTGCCCAACTTGAAGTAGCGCTCCACATCAAACACAGCCTACTTGAGCGCTTCAAAACCTTTACACACGGACACAAAAATCTGGTATGGTTGTTGCGAAAGGCTGAGACAGAAGAATTCTAGACGAGTCGGTGAGCGTAGATAAGTTTGGATCTTGACCCTAAATTAACGCATATTTAAGCGACATCCCACCGGAACGATGGTTCGCCTACGCCAACATCGGGGTGGTCGCATTGTATGGATGACAAACCTCTAGCTTTGTCGAGAGCGGTTTTGGCTTACAATTGGCGAAAGGAATATGAATACCGCATCCTTACGCCTTCATTTAAGCGATGTGCGGCTTGTGAATGAATGTTTCGCTCATAGCTGACGGGATAGTGATCTCATTTTGACGCCTTCTGGTGAGAATTTGTATCGAAAGTTGAGGGCTATAGAAGGACATAATTCGGTGCAACACGCCTCACAGAAAAAACGGCTGCGTTCACGAGGTGGCTGCAGCTGTTCGTATCCGAAGACGAGTGCGTTTAAACGACGGGACATGCACCTGAATACTAGGAGTCGGATATCTTTAATCCGAAGTGTGTAATTGTGATGGTTTCCTCCAATAAACAAATACTCCGATCGACGAAGCAAGGATAAATAACCAATAGGTAGCCCGCCCCACAAAAGCTGATCTCGAATGGTGCACAGATTGAGAGACCGTAATTTAAAGCCGCAACATATTTGACTAGATATTTGGCAGTTGATGAGTCTCCGGAGTCAGCGGCTGCTGCTTGACCACTGGACTAGTAAACCGCTGTATGACACTCAGGAGGATAGCGTGACTCGCTTTGACAACTGGGTCATAGCCGGCGTTAATCATGTGATACCAGCGAATGACACACAGCTTTTCACACACCGTCAAATACGTGTTCCTTTTCCCGCTTTGCTCATCCCAAACTTCCCCAGGTACGCTACATACGCCCCAAGTTGGCTAGCACTCTCATTCAACTTGTTTAAACTCAGTCAAGACTATATTTCATCAAACGGCACCATCCCACCCACTGCTGCCAAGCCTCGTGCGTGAGGTAGACGATAGGGCAACCGGCTCAGAGTAGCGCTCCCAGATCGCGGAGAGCTTTCTCAAACCTTGTGAAAACATGCCTGTAACTACGTATGTTAACAATCACTGCATAACTTGTTTTCGAGCTGGTAGCAGGCAGCACAGTTCGAAGTCGATAGCGTCCATGACGACGGGCCGGTTTGGCACTTCTGGTACCGCAAAATGCGACAGCGTTCAGCGTAAAGGCTTGACTGCTGTAGAACTACTAGAAACCATTCCAAGCGTCTTTCGCTTCTGCAGATACTTTAACTGATCAAAATTGTGGATTCTGGCGCGCTAGAGGGGTTAAGCGCTGGAAAAACGTTGTCACAGGTGGTATAAAAGTGTTAACGTGGCGTAGACTACCAAGTAGCTCATTAGAGAACTGTAGGTTTTGGAGCTATCCGTGGTTATGGAGCTAATCGAGGGCTACGAACCGTCGCTCCATAAATAGACTCCTTGGAGCTAGAGCGGCCCCTCATAACTCCACTGGAGTTAAGTATTGGAGCATCTCAAAATATCCACTCGGAAATCTATTATTAGCAAATACGGAGTTTTGCTTAGATATTCCTTACTCCAACTCCAGAGACTACAGCTCTCTATTTATTCGTAGTAGCTGACGCCGAAGTGAGCGTTAAGGAATTAATAATCGTATGACTGACCATGAGATTGGCTGTGAGTGCGGCGATTCTCAGACTCGCGTTTATTCACTCAGTGTAGCCTCGGATCTCCGATAAAACAAGGAGAATGCCGTTGCATGGACCTGTATCGGGATTATTGGTCGTGTCGATTTCTATGTGAGGG